TCTTAATGTCAATTGCATTGAAAATGAATTTTTCTGTATGAAACTGTGTATTTTAATAATGAAATGGAGATCTTTTTTAAAGGTTAAAAACTCATTCAATTTTATGTCTTACAGGGCTTATACTGAGTTCAATATTGTATAATGATATTAATTCAACTGTGAACCTGGAAACTTGCAGCCACTTGTGAAAGAGAGGTATTCTTGCTCTGGAGCATGTTACTGAATATGTTAAATGTGTAGTGAAATGCTTCCTCTAATCATGTAGTTATTAAAAATTTTTTTTAAATGATTAAAAAATAATAATAATAATGAGTAGATGTGAAAAACATTACCATTGAAATCTACCTGATGACTTTATATCCATGCTCAGATGCCAAGGAGCTCAGAAAGTAACCGACTGTCACTAGTAATAATCAAGTATATAGAGATTAGAAACGCATGTGCAAACATTTTAATGTCAATTGCATTGAAAATGAATTTTCTGTATGAAACTGCATATTTTAATAATGAAATGGAGATCTTTTTTAAAGGTTAAAACCTCATTTAATTTTCTGTTTTACAGGGTTTATACTGCGTACAATATTGTATAACTGTAACAATTCAACTGTAAACCTAAAATTTTACAGCTTATTTTGAAAAAGATGCATCTTAACTCAGAAAACTGTTATTGAATATGTCAATGCTGTTGTAATCAAATGCTTCTTCTAGGTATGTGGTTATTAAATAAATAATTAACTGGAAAAAAAGAAAATGAGAATGTAAAAGATGTTAAAAGGTTATGGGAATGGAGATATTTTCCAAAATAGAAAGAAGAAATGAGAAAGCCTAAGCAAGTGATAATGGTCTGTTTTGGTTTGTTATGATATATAAAGGATGAGACAAAATAATATACACATAATCTTAAAATGTCTATGGTCATAGCTTAGTCAACTAGTTTAAGGAAAAAATAAATATCTAGTCAAAGTTTATCTGAAAATATTTGGTTTTTTTACCCAAGCCTTATCTACATAGCACATAATAGTTAAAAGTACCAGATGGTGGAGCTAACCTTATTGGATGTTTAACAACCATAGTTTGAGGCCTATACTAATGTGATCAGAGGGACTTAAAGGACAGTTTTTGCTCCTTGCGCTCCAAGGTCCACTAAGTTCCTGGGGACTATGGAACATCTCTCAAAATGTCCTGTAACTGTGGTGAGCCGCCTGTCCTCTTGTTCAGGGAGGCCATGGAGACCCCACCAGATGGACTTGAACCAGGGTCCAGTCTACAAGAGAAGGGTCACCTCAGAGAAAACATCTCATTCATGCTTCCAATTGAAGCCGGACATGGTGGAGCAGGA